ACAAAGAGAGGCGAAGCGCAACTCGGGAAACGCGACATCGGGGGCCGTGACCACGCTCCTCCTCTGCGCCTCTCCATGCCTCTCCCCGACTATCTCCCCTTGCCTCCCATACCTACTACCATTCTCCCTGTCTCACCGTGTGTCTATGGCTACCGCTCTCTCCGCGTCTCCTATTCCTATCGCGATCGCTGTCTGCCGTCCCTGTAAGTGTAAGAGAGAGTGTGCGTGTGTGTGTTTGTGAGGAAGAGTGAGAGAGTGTGTTGGGGGGCGAGGGTGGGTATGGGCTCACGGCCAACACCAGTGACGATTATCTGAATCGGTCCTGGGCCTCCCCTGGATAGACTCAGCCTCAAATGAGTACCTGGTGCGGTGTGCAAACATCGCCACTAGGGAGACAAAGGCGGTCGGGCGTGGTGCTGCCCACCCACCCCTTCGTGTACCGTGACGGCACTTTAAAGGTGCTCGCGAACAGCACCTGCCCCAACAGTCTGTTAAGGCCATGCGGGTGATCTTTGTCTTTGTAGAGGGAGAGAGGGTGCGCGGTGTGACATTTTGTGCGGGTGGGGAGGTGGGTACGAGACGGAGTGTGAGAGAGAGAGAGAGGTGCTGTGTGAAAGAGAGATTGTGTGAAATTGTGAGCGAGTGTGAATGCCCTTTAAGTCACAATGCGAGATGGTAATCAGGGCTGTATATACACCTATGTATATAGAGAAATAGTGTAGCGGTTAGCGCGTTGAGCGACTAACTTGGCGACCCGGGTTCGATTCCCGCTCACGGCCACCACCAGTGCCGATTATTTGAACCGGTCCTGGGCATCCCCTAGGTCGACTCAGCCTCAAATGAATACCCGGTGTGGTGTGCAAATATTAGCACAGGGGAGATAAAGGCGGCCGAGCGTGGTGCTAGCCACCCATCCGCTGTGCTGTATCGGCCTTCATAAGTTGCCCTCGAGCAGCACTTGGCACAACAACGGTGTGAGTACTATACGGGGCATCTTTGTCTTTGTTTACGTTTTAATTTACGTGAGGAATTCAGGAGTTGCTCTTTCACAACAAATGCTGTCGATGCTGCCGTGCGTAAATGTGAATAAAAATCCCATATAGAGGAAGGTGCGACTGATGTAACGCTCTGATGTTCTAGAAGCCCTGTCAAGATGCAATGTGGCACATACATATGGTCGAATCACGTTCACAACCTGGACATCAGAAATTCTGAATCTTAGCATTTAGGCCCCAATAATTACGGTGCGGTTGATTAGTTTTACTTGGAGGGCAGGCTCAGCGTAGAGTTCTGCATTGCTCACGACCCCCCTCGGTGGACCGAGTAATTCGCCTGCCGTGGAGTGTGACGCCAACGCCGATAGACGGTAACGTATGGACCTGTATTTAATTCTCAATGTACCCATCAAGTCTCACCCTCGAGTCCTCGAATGTTTGGCCACGCAGAACACGGCAGTGGGATCGCGAGTTTCTCCCCCCCCCCCCCTCCCTGCGTGGTGCCCAGCACCACGCCCGACCGCCTTTGTCTCCCCAGTGGCGATGTTTACGCACCGCACCAGGTAGTCATTTGAGGCCGAGTCGACCTAGAGGAAGCCCAGGACCGGTTCACGTAATCGTCATCGGTGTTAGCCGTAAGCGGGAATCGAACCCGGGTCGCCAAGTTCGTAGCGCAGCGCGCTAACCGCTGCACTACCGCTCCCCACTACCATACACACACTCACTAAGACAATGATCACACGTGCCCTTATCAACGCACTGGACAAAGATCCCTCGTGTAGCCCTGCACACAGTTGGGGGGCTGTGCTGTTGGCGAGCACCCACTAATGCCTGCATGGCGGTGGCCAGCACCACCACGTGCGCACACTCGGCCGCTTTTAGACCTTTCCGGTACTGCTTGTTGACAGGGGTAGACCGTTGTGGGGCTACTCAGTTTAGATTTGATTCCATCACCCAAAGGGGAGGCCCAGTGATGTCGCGTCCAGAGAGGCGCGGAGAGGCCACCGCCGCTGTGGCAGTGGTCCAGCGACCCGGCCCACGCGGGAAGCGGAGCCACGCAACGTGAAACGAACGCTGGTGAGCGAGTTGGTAAGAGTTAGGGGTCAGTGATAGTGGCTGGTGAGCGAGTTGGTTAGAGTTAGGGGTCAGTGATGGGGCTAGTGGCTGGTGAGCGAGTTGGTAAGAGTTAGGGGTCAGTGATAGTGGCTGGTGAGCGAGTTGGTTAACGTTAGGGTTCTGTTATAGGGCTAGTGGGTGGTGAGCGAGTTGGTAAGAGTTAGGGGTCAGTGATGGGGCTAGTGGCTGGTGAGCGAGTTGGTAAGAGTTAGGGGTCAGTGACAGTGGCTGGTGAGCGAGTTGGTTAAAGTTAGGGTTCTGTTATAGGGCTAGTGGCTGGTGAGCGAGTTGGTTAGAGTTAGGGTTCAGTGATGGGGTTAGTGGCTGCTGAGCGAGTTGGTTAGAGTTAGGGTTCAGTGCTCGTTGCTGGTAAGCGAGTTGGTTAGAGTTAGATTTCAGTGATGGGGCTAGTGGGTGGTGAGCAAGTTGGTAAGAGTTAGGGTTCAGTGATGGGGCTCGTGGCTGGTGAGCGAGTTGGTTAGAGTTGCAGTAAATCTGAAATATTCAATAGAAACATTGTTCAGCTCGTTATTAATGAGTGGAGGGAGTGACGCTAATGGTTATTGGGGAGGGGTGCGGTATTCGGAGTGACGTCACCCCCTCATGGTTATTGTGGAGGGGTGCGGCATGTGGAGTGACGTCACCCGCTCATGATTATTAATGAGGGGAGGGGGTGCGGCATGTGGAGTGCACGACCTTCTTGTGCGTTCGTGTACATTTCCACGGGGGGGGGGGGGGGGGCTCATGTGGACCGACGTCACGTGCGGGACGCACATTCTAGGCTTGTTATTATTGTAGTAATTATTTCCTGGTGCAACATGGACAGCGGTGCACAGGCGCACATAACAAAACACGACATAGTACGAGGTGACGTTTCGGGCAATGACCCTTCATAGCATAGAGATGCGCATACGTTAAGCCGTGCTATGGAGGGTGCTTGCAAAAAAAAAGCATCGCCTACGATCGAGTAGCGTAGGATAAGAGGCATTTTTTTCAATCCTAGTGCTGACAGAAGTGACGTCAACAACCATGACCAGGTTGAGGTGCGGTTTGGCACTAATGCAAGCGAATGGGATTACTCGATCCATATACAGACTCTCGACTTACGAACATTCCACTTACGAACTTTCAGAGATATGAACAAACCTGTCCATGTCCAGTTGCAGCTGTTCGTACCGAGAGTCGTAAGTTCACCCTCAGCGCGTGAATAACCAGTGGCATCTAACAGGAGATTATACAACTTTTAAAGCCATTTCCCGTGTTTAGTGTACATGGCGTACAACATGCTTTGAATCGACAGGCCAAAATTTGGACTTACGAACAAAACGACTTTACGTAGACCTCTGGAACCTAACTCGTTCGTAAGCAGAGTAGTGCCTGTATTGGCAGAGACACACCCCTACATACCACGCCACGCCTACTTCTTTCCATGTATAGGGGGGTGGGGCTCATCGCTGATCGATGATTCGATTTTATTGTACAAAAGCGCCCTCGTCCAGGGGCGCCCTGCCGCTCGCAGCTCGGACAACCACGCGTGGGCACCAGAACAACATTTGGTCTATAAACCCCGCATCATGCTACGGATTTGCTTTTTTTGTTTACTTTCAGGCCAGAAGCTTCGCCTGTCCAATATCAGCGTGTTGCGCCAACGAGATGAGGGTGGTGTGGCATTGTAGACCGGGTGCGTGACCGGGTGAGCCGTTCTCGCCGTACGCAAGAGCAACACTCGGCCGGTGCCATGCCACCCACGCGGTCGCGTTGAGTGGGAGGGCCCGCACTAAAAGGTCGTCGTCCATAATGTCCAATGTAAGCGCCGAGCGCCCGAATAGTCTTGAAGCCAGATAACATTACTCGAGCGCCTGCCCATGGGGGTGCAGGGGGTCTGTTGCTGCCGATGCTGCTGCCGGTGATAAACGTTCATGCTGCTGCTTGTATCACTGAAGCGACTGCTGCTGCTGGCGATGGGAGTTAAGAACCACTGCAACTATTGTTGCTGCTGACGACGACGACGACGCTGCTGCTTGCTGTTCGCGATGCTGATGCTGCCGTTTCCTGTTCAATCTGCTGACGTGTTGTTTGTCGCGAACGAGCAGTGGCGGAGAGGTGTAGGCATGGACCCTGGTGCCAGGATTTCAATCAAGGCCCCCTGTTAATTTACCCCCTCTCCCCCCATTCCCCGGCCCGTGGACTTAGGACCTTGGTACGGAGTTGCACTGCCTGCACACTCGAGCTAGCCCCTGGATCACAAAAGACCCTCACAATTCAAAAGGACCCAAATTCCGACTTTATCCAGTTGGTAGCACAGCGCCCCCCTGTGGGAGAGGGCGAACCAGTCGTGTCACGCAATTTTCGTGGGGACGGGCAGGCGGTGGCTACGCACGAGGCTTGTAACCCAGCACTGTGGGGGTAGCGAGGGTTGGTCGATCACCGCACAAGCCGGTTGTGAAACTCCCTTCCCCGTGGGCGTCGATAAGGCACCATACCTCGCTCGACTCGCGGCGAAAAGGCAGTATGGCAAGTGGACTCATCGCCAGCTGTTCCTATCTGTACGTGGGAGGGCGTGTCGTCCCCTTTGCGCGTGTTTTTCTGCGGGTGCTCCGGTTTCCTCCCACTTGTGTAATACATACACTCAACATTAATTGGATAAAAGCTGAAAATAAAAACCAATGCAGGAACCTCCTTAAAAAGTGTGGATCTCCTGGATAAGTAAAAAAAAACATTTTTTAAACACGTGATTAGCATCTGACACATGTACAAAGTTACCTGGGCATCGTGCGACCCCATTCATCAGGTGAACTCGATCCCAACCCATCACCGTGTGATCTGGTCACGAGGCGAAGCAGTCATCGCTTCACAATTCCTTGCAAACAAGCGACCTCCACACACACCGCGGGTCGTCGATTTTTATGTTTATTTTGCAATGTTTTAAGGTTTGGTTAATATAAGATATCATGTTTGTGTCAAACATTATTACGAAGTGTTCTTAACCTGCTGCTGTCGATGCACTAACCCCTCTATAAATATTCGTGTGCAAAATAAAGAAAAAAAAAGCCCCAGCACAATTTAAAGTTTATATTTCTTACAGCAAATTTCATTTAAAAACCAAGGTGTGATTTTTTTTTTTCCTCCGAACATTAATACAAGCGAACGTTCTTCTCTATGCCGCGTGGCTTTGATGTTAAAAAAAATACACCCACGTTATCATGCAAAACTGTACAACATTCTTACAGACGCAAAACAAAAACGAAATAACAAAGCTAGCAAGCCATGGGGAACACGGTGTCGTCATCTGTTGCGGGTACTTTGTGTCAATTAATTCGCTTACAAAAAGGCAACAAATACTGGCACTGAAATCACTGCCCACAGAGTCCCCGTGGCAGCTGCTTTCACATGCCCACCCCTCTCGCCCCACAGAAGATGTAACGCAACCACTCCACTCCCCCCCCCCCCCCGCCCTAAAACCGTGTTGGGCCCAGCAGCCAGGGGATGGGACCTCACTGGCGAGCACCTGGGCCCCTCAGCGGCCTCGTGGGGCCCAGGCCCTCTATGGCAAAGAGGAGGGAGTGAGCAAACGAGCGAGCTTTCGGGTGCATCTGCGATGAAAGGCGCAGTGCATTGAGCTGCTCGGTGGAGAGTGAGCAAATGGCCTTCGGGGCCACATGGTTGGCTCCTTCCGATGGGATATCACGTCCACCCAGGGCTGTTTTGTAGTGTGGCCCGATGCCCGACTCGTGGATGCCATAGCTCCGGGCGATGGAGGCGACCGTGAAATTGGCCTCGGCTTGGCAACGCGACGAGATCCCACATGGGGGGGGCCCCCGTGACGAAGACAGTCGCGCGGCGGATTTGCCATGACGACAAATGCGCGTTACGAGAGTGCGAGGCCTTCTCCCACATCGCGAGGGTGACCCCCCCCCACCCACCCACCGCCACCCACATCTGCACACCATCCAAAACAATTGAAACATTTACAGCGACTTGGGCAGCACGGAGAGCTATGACGCACCCACGGGGAGCGTGGTGAAGATTATACAGCTGGGCCAGTGCACGTTTGGACCGAAAAAGTAATCGGAAGTCGCAGGTGAGAGATGATATTGGACACACATGCGTAACACGTCATTACCCCCCCCCACCCCCCCCTCAAAACAAGGACTGCTTGGCAAGCCAGAAAATAAAACATATCTATCTACAGTATGCAGATAACCTGAGACCCAGAAACCAGATGAAGCTAACACATGGATGACAATTTTTGTCTTAATTTTTTGATTGATTGGCCGCCGTAATTATTCCCAACGACGGCAAAGAACAAACATGCACTTAAACGCGCGCGCACTCGTATTCACACTCTCACACTCGCGTACACAAGTACATATTCTCACACTCGAAAGAGCGCACAGTTCACAGGGTTGATGTTTCCACTCGCTCATCACACCCACCCGTCGACACTGAAATTTCAAAATAAAGCATTTTTCAATCGGCGTCTACCACAGCCCCCCCCCCCCTTTGCAAGCTCGACTATGCCTTGGTCACTGTCTAGAGTGAGGGAAATAAAACGAATGCTACAACGGGCGATAGGTAATAACATTGGAGCAGCTTCTGTTCTGGCGACGGCTAAAAACAGTAGTAGACGGGTGCTCTGAACGCCGAGCAGGCGAACTTAGGAATCACTTTTTGCAACCTTGACATGGTCCACAATCCCCCGTGCGCGCGCTGGCTCCACGGCACAGACCCCCCCTTCGCAACCAACCCGCACGTTGCTGGCGCACAGCGCACTGTTCCCGGTCGAAAAAAAAAAATCTCTCTCTGCACCCCACCAACACCACGAGGTAACGGTCCCCCCCCCCCCTGCTGTGTCTGCACCACTTCGGCAACGACGACAAAATATTAAAAACGTGAAAGGAAAAAAAACACCTGCATGTTTCCAGCGAAAATAACCACGTGAAAAAAAAGACACGCGCAAGTCTGTGATCAGAAATATCTTACAGAAATAAACAAGCGCGACACGCGCGTTTGCCGTTGTGTTGGGTCGACAAGAATGCGCAACGCTGTAGTGTTTTCTAGTTCCACGGTGCTGCTGGTTTTGACCCCACCACCCTTGTCCCCGGGCGCCTCCCGCTGCAAAAAGTGGGGGCTGTGAAGAAGACTCCGGGAGACTGCATATGCTGTCAGAGGCAGCCACCACAAAGCGATTGCTGGTCGCAGGAAAAAACGTTTAACAAACCCCCCCACCCCCACCCAAACAGTACAAGGCCCCCCCCCCCGCGCCGGTTTGCCGGCGCTCTGTTCCCAATAGGGACGACGCGGGAGGGGGGGGGGGACGAGCGTGGCGCAGCGCCGAGCTTCGCCGCTTGCCAAGCGCCCTCGTGCCTCTCACAGGAGAGGTTCTGCAGTGCCAATGGCCCGTGGCCTTAGTGGTCGGATCACGGAGGCAGTGTGGACACGGGACAGCCGTGATATGCACGGGACGTCCTAAGTCCACCTGCTTGGAGTCTCCTGGAGCCGCTGAATACGACGGGTGACCGCACGTAGCAGCAACGGCTCGGGGTTAAACAACTCTACATGTTCTGAAAGTGGAACAAAATTCAGGACAATTTTAAGTTAATTTTTTTGTTTCTTAATTTTTTTTCTTTAAATCGGTAATTACTGTAATTATAGTTATTATATTATCGGTATTTATAACGAAACTCTCTTCAACACTCCCAGCTGCCCCCTCCCCTTGTCTCCCGTAGACAGGCACAGGAGCCCCGGGTTGGGAGAGGGCAGCAACACAGAGAGGAATAGAAAACGAGTGTGAGTGCGTGCGTGGGCCCGGGGTCCCTTCACAGGCAGCGGTGTGGGGCAGCTGGCGCGTGCAGCCCCGGGGCCCCACAGGAACACGACGTTCCATCGCTCCCACGCAGGCTGCGGGGAGGGGGGGGGGCACGCGGAGGGGCGGGGTCACCTGGCGGGGCTCCCTTCAGGCAAAAGACAAACGTGGCTGGGACCCCCCTCCACCCCCCCAACACTCCCAGCACCGGTTTTCGGCACACCCCCCCCCCCCCCCCCCCCCCCCACGTCTTGTCCTCGTCGTTGCAGTCGTCACCATCGGGGGCGATCGAGGAGGAATGGCGCGGGCATGCGACCAACACCGTTGGACGTCGCGCGTGCCCAGACTCAAAGGTCCCACGGGGAGTGGCCGCCCAAACCACCGCCACCAGCGCCGCCGCTGCTGCCTCCACCTTGGTTGCGCGGTGGAGACAGCGGGCTAGGCGGGCTGCTGAGGTTGGAGCTGTTGGAGGCCGTGGAGTGGCGTGGAGAGTCCGAGTCCTGTTTCGCGGCGCCGGCAGCAGGGGGCGAGCGACCGCGCGAGTCCCGCGTGGGAGCGTCGGGCCGTACGGGCGGGGGCGGCGGATGGCAGGAAGACAAAACACGCAGATACATAGCACAACACATGCACCGTTAGTGCACGCACACAATACCCTGAAAAATTGCCAGTTGTGTGCCAGCCAAACACAAATGATCCCACAACACGCAACACGAGCACCCCCACAACACTGTCATCATGTTTGCCTTTTCTGGCGTGCTCCTGGATAGGTCGGATAATTGGCCGCATTCGCAAAAACAAGCAACAGCTTACGTTTCCACTCGTTGTTGGTGAGCGGACTGGGCAAAACGGCCTCCATCAATAATGCAGAATCGGTTTTGTCCCAATGCCTCGGCGGAGATGGCGCAGACCCCACAGCCGGCGGGCAGAAGCAAAGGTGGGGGGGGGATGGGAGGGAGGGAGGGAGGGAGGGAGGGGGCAGTGGGTCTCACCTCGCGCTCAAACTCCGAGTCAGCACGGGGCCCGTGGCCCTCGCTGTGCTGGTCGGGGCCGCCCGACGAGAGCGACCCGTCCGAAGGCGACGCCACGGGCCACTTCTTGCTGCCGGAGCCCCCACTACCGGAACTGCCCAGGCCGGCACCGCCTGTTGCGCCGCCCGCCTCCCTCCGCCCTGCGCTGCCGTTCTGGGCCAGCGAGCCTGAAACACGAGTGCAGCCACGAGCAACCACGCGCACAGACGCAATTACAATCCTGTACGTATGCACAACTACAGATGCACATGAACACGAGTACAGGCACATGCCCACATCAAACTCAAAAAAAGCACACACGCACAACCATATATGTACATACACACAACAATACCACCAGAAAAACACCATTCTCTTGGCCGTAGCCCACATTTGAACTCAGATCTCAAGTGCTGGGTACTCGGCATCGCCAGGATTAATAACATTTCACGAGAACCGTAAACCCAACACACGTGTCTAGAGGTACGCCACCGCGTCACGGCTTCTCAATCGGATCCATCGGTTTGGGTCAAACCCTGCTGCGTCAGTGCTTCACACGTGCGGCCTGTGCGAGGATCTGGCCTTTAGTCACGGTGGCGAGACATTAACTACCTCGCCTGGTATACAGGTGATTGTGGGTTCGATCCCGACCCAGACGCCTGTATATTTAGAGTTTGTGTGTCTTTCTCCCCGTGGTTACGTGGATTTTGTCCAGGTCCTCCGTTTTTTTTTCCCCTCCACACTTAGAAACGTGCGTTTAAGAGTATTTGCCTGGTAATAAACTTCCAAGCAATAAGCCACTTTGCTGAGCTATCATATGTGGCCAGGTCACTTCTTAAAAATAACTATATAGCTCATTGGGCAGTACACCTGTTGAGTTTTAGTCGGGAGGCGTGGTGGGACGGCAAGCACTCACTGGGGCTGGTGGAGAGGCCGGCGTGCGAGTGCCGCGGCATGGCTGCCATGCTGGAGGAGCCCGAGATGGCGGGGCGGGGTCGCTCCTGCGGGTGCTCCTCGTGGATCGTCGACGAGCGCTGCAACAATGACGACAACGGCAGCAGCGGCGGCGGCAGGATGAGCGTCGATGCACGAGGCAGGCCGTGCCGGCGCGAGCGGGGGGGAGACCGCCTCAGCGTACCGACCGCCCTGTCCTCCCCGACCCTGCAAAGCCCTTTACTTGCTCACCCAGTTGAGTTTTATCAGAGCCGATGGTAAATAAATGATAAACGCGTATTATTTATTAAAACATTGGGGTCATGCTTCGGGATGATTGTCTAATATCCTTTTCTTAAAAGAGTCTTTTGCACGTAGGAGGAAACCCACCATGCATATGGGCTAAATAACTCGAAATCCACAAGCATGGGTGATGAACCGAACTGCTGTAATTCCCCCAGAATCTGTGGGACCGGGAGTCGCTGCGCGCGACGGAATGTACACAACCCTCCCAAACTCTGCCTCCGAAGTGCTGTGCTACGAAAGGAGTGCGCCACCGCAGGTCTGGAAGCGACGATTTGCAACAGACGGCGTTGCTGCGCCACTGACGCGGCACGCCAATCTCACCACGGGCAGGTCCATGAGCATCTGCATGCCGTCGCCGGGGCCCATGTGCGCCACGTGGTTGAAGTTGGTGGGACCGGAGATGAGCTTGGAGCGCAGCTCTGGGTCCCGTATAATCATCTCCCTGCAAGGCACAAGTGAGAGGGGGGGAATGATGCGGGTCAGCACAGGATGTTCTCTCTCAACCAGTTTGCAAGTCGTAAGCGAATTGCTTACTAGGGCAATACTCTCCAAACGAGCATGCGAGTGGGATCATGGCTAGTCTGTGCCAAAGCAATCGGCAGATAATGCACGTGGCACACCATTCATTCTGCTGTTGGTGTAACGCAGCAAACATTAATCAGACTGTAAAAGTCGTTACATTGAAATCGAGTCTTAAGCTTATGATGAATATATTGAATCAAGCGCAAAAATGAATTGCTTTTAAAGTCACATACCCTTAACATTGAGAACACACTGGATCCAAAAGTTTCACACCATTATATATTTTTTAAGTATTAACAAGGCATGAGGAATAAACCAAAGCGTCCATTGAATCATGACACAAAACTGCAAATCTAATCGGATCACAGAATGAGTTAAGCGATTAAACCTAGTTCTGCAGTTCCACTGCTGGATTATATTTTTTCTGCCTGAGGACGACCGCTTGTGTTGTGATCGAAACGTCGTGATTTATTTTATTTTCTACCTACGTGACTTTACCGAAAGAACCAAAGAGTATGGATTCCTGCAGTCACGAAAGCTTAAAAATCAAGATTAAACCTAAAAAGTCTGGAGAATCGGAAAAAAAACATGCGCAAACACATGGCAGGCGGGCACCTCAAGGAGATCTTCTCGTCGTCCGGCACGCGGTAGGAGAAGTGCCTCCGGCTGCGCATGCGGATCAGCTGCTTCCGGCTGTTGTCCGACGTCTCAGGCACATGCAGGTCCTCGCCCTCTGTGGAGGTACGCATCGCACGCACGCACGCGCGCATCATTCCCCGTCGCCGTTTGCGAGGTGTACGCGCTCCCGTCGCTGTCGCAGCTTAAACGGTCAAGCCGGACTTACTCGAGGCGACGACTCCAACACGGGCACCGCGATGGGAAACGTGGCAGCCGTGCGAAGTTTCCGGCGATGTCTATGCAAGAGCATTGCACCTATTTTTTTGTTAAAATAATTTTTACATTGCACAAGTAGGGATGAGTAGTGGTAAATGTCTGCCGATCTGTCAGTCGACTCTTTCAGCATTGCACATCTAAACGTACGCGTAAACTATTTTGTGTTTGTGTGTGCACGGAATGCAGGGATGGGGAATTTTCTGTGAGTTCGGTCCTCGCCCCCCCTTCTCCTACCTGCTTGCTTGTTTTGAAAGTAGATGAGACGCACGGGCTCGGAGGGGAGGAGGTTCAGGGTGCCCTGGGGGTTCAGTGGCTTTATCTGCACCACAGGGAGGAGAAGTGCACAAGCCGAGGGTCAGTCCTCACAGGACGGGCACAACACAAAAGCTTCGACAAACCTCGGAGGATGCCTGAAAGCTCCAGTCCTCCATGTAGACGATGCTAAAGAGCCGGTCGGTGGTGTCAATCTCTAAAACAGTCGGAAATGACCCATGAAAAAAATCTTACGGCGACTAATAGTTCAAAATTATTAAGTAAAAAGATCCTGTGCAAATTAGGCCAGGTTGTCATTATTATGAAATAAGGACTGCCAATGAACTTTTCAATTAACTAGGAGGGACAGCGATTTGCTAATTTATCAACATAGTAAAACAGCGAGCGGCACCTTTTTCAACGGCAGTGTCTGTATCCACTCCATGGTGATGATGTTGAATATGTCGACTGTGTTCTCACTGTACACCGACAGGTACGGAGGGTTGTAACCTGCGACATGAGGCAAAACAAAGTCAACACCGACGCAGTTAGGCAGCAACGAAACAGGTGCCAATGGGGCTAATAGGTTAACTCAACTATTTTTTTATCTTACCACAGAGCTATACCGCCCTTTTTCAGAAGCGACCTGGTGACAAATGATACCTCAATGAAGTGGCTTATCATGCGAAATAATGTATAGCAGCCAAATCCTCCAAAAGCATGTTACTAAATGTGGAGGGAAAAATTGGAGCCGTAGAGAAAAAAAATAATACAGGTGGGTCAGGGTCGGGATCGAACCCATGCCCTCCTGCATACCAGGCGAGGTAGTTAACATCTCGCCACCGTGGCGACTTACAGCACGCAGTGGGAGGTGCTGGCCACATGAGTTCCTGCTGGCGCGAGCGGCGGCCCTGCCGGTCCACGTAGATGCCCACACAGGAGAAGCACAGCAGGTACTCGCGTGCCGGGCCGGGTCCGCCCACGATCTCCACGCAGCACAGAGCGTCTGCTGGAGCGCCACCGCCCGCCGCCAGGAAGCTCAGCGAGGGGTCCTCAGCCTGCACCAGGCAGTGGCCCGACCCCTCCTCTCCGGCCTGCGCCAGTAACACGGCAATAAGACATGGGCACAATGCACGAGGCAAAGTCAGAAATACAGGAAACAATCTGTACAATGCAGTGTAAATCTGTTGGTTGTTGGAAACGGCCGTGGTATTTGAAAGTGACGTACAGGCAAGGATTAATTCTCTGACTTGCTAAATTTGACTGCTAAGCTCACAACATGCGCATTAAATTGTGTTTTTCGTTCATGGACGTTTTCTAGTCATAATAGATTATGTTATGAACCACATGTACAACTGAGAATACATTTCATGGAAGGAATTGTGACCCGGAACCATGCCGTAATTCATAAAGTCATGGAGTGGGTGAATTCTTGCGTGCCCAGCAACTGATTAAGACTTGAAAAAGAAACCAGCAGAATATTCAATATACGTACATACATTAGTGTATAACTGTATAAGTAACACAATATAACATTATTATATAATTCCCAATGTCAAAGATCACGTTAAGGTGTCTCATTATCTATACCAGTGGTTCCTAACTTTTCTGGAGCCAAGGAACCACTCTAAACTCTCGACAAATTGTCATCGATGACCAGCAGTAAACAAATTTGCTGTTTTTGAAAAAAAATTATATCTTCAACAGTCCCACTGGCGATTTCCCATGGCCTAACAGACGACCAAGCGCTCTGCGGATCAAAAGTTAGGATACTCCATGGCACTGATCATCAAGGATGCGATATAATCACTAACGTCAGCATGGCCAAAGCACGGAACAGTGAAACCGCCGCAGGGCGTGTGTGTGCCCGTTACCCCGGTGGCGTAGATGGCGAATCCGGACTGGTATCCGACGCAGATGCCCTCCGACAGCACCGCGAGCCACTGCGCCACGTTGGGCAGCTGGTACTCGCGAATCCGGCGGTGGCGCGTGCGCGCAGCACCGCCCATCAGCTCGTAGCACACCAGCTGGCGCTTCATGGCCAGGCAGAGGAGGGCCGAGCCGGCGGCGCTGAGCCCGCTGGGACGCCCTGCCGCTATCGCCTGGCAGTTCTTGGCCTCGGGCACCTTGTAGGGCTCATGCTCCATGCCCTCGAGCGCCTTCCACAGGTAGAGGCGCAGCTGACGGTTGCGGCCGGTGATCACGGCCACCAACTGCGCCTCCGGGATCAGCTCGATCTGCGTCACCTTTTTGCAGTCGTCCACGCGCACGATCACTGTGGACGCACGCCGCATGAACGCCTTTGTGTTTAGAGATCGCCACCCAGTGGCAGGTGAGAGACGAACCGATATTGGACGAATCAGATGATTAAAATATGGCTTCTCTCGCTAATGATTCACATCGATTAATCATGCCAGCTGTATGTGAATGACATGCCAGTGTTACGTTTAACATAAAAAAATATGGGGGAAAAAAACGAGACAATACAAACGGGATTACAAAAACCCGTGGCCCAGGATCGTTTATGGTATATTGAACAAATTCAGATGTGACTCGTGAAGTGGTAAACAAGATGCGACAGTGCTCGATTATGTGGAAATGTACGTATTTAGTGCAGGATTCCAAGAAGGTCAATAAATCGAAATCATAGCCTGCTATATGTATAGCTACAAAATGTATAAAGTCATGGTGAATTGTGGGAAATGAACAAAATAATGGTTAGGGGCGGGCCCTGATAGAACCCACCTCTCAAAAGGCTTCCGTGCACACGTTCGTAACCAGTGCGGGAACTGCTAAAGTGAATGGCGATGAAATGTGTTCCTTCTATAAGGTGGTGATGACAAAAGCAGTGGTATTCTTGGTTCTTTCTACGCGACTTTACCGAAAGAACCAAGAATATGAATCCCTGCAGTCACGAAAGCTTTGAATCGAAAAATAAAAGCAGTGGCATTTTCTGATGAGGCATTATATACAAGGGTTGTGCACACTTACCATCATTGGTGACTTCGAGCACATAAAACCCATCTTCCGCTCCAAGTGCTATTCTATCATGGTCTGCACGCGCGCACACACACACACACAAATAGAAGGATCCCGTATTTCGCCATGCAGGCTCTTATGGCAAGTGCTGTTAGCGAGCACGTATCAAGGAATACTACTGGAGGGGGTGGTGATGTGGCCAGCATCTCACCCAGGCCATGCTTTATCTCCCCAGTGCTTGTATTAAGGACACTGCACCAGGTACTCATTTAAGGCCGAATTGTGGAAGCTCAAGACCAGTTACGATATTTGCACAAAGACAAACATCCCCCCCCGTATCGCTGTAACAAATTGCTGAGGCAAATGCTATCGGCGAGCACCTACGAAGGCTGGAACGGCACACGATGGGGTGGGTGGGCAGTACCACGCCTGGCTACCTTCATCTCCCCAGTGGCTGCCCAGATGTTTACACACTACACCAGATACTCATTTGAGGCCGAGTCGACCTAGGGAAGGCCCAGGACCGGTTCAGATAACCGTCGCTGGTGTTGGCCCATGAGCGGGAATCAAACGCGGGTCGCCGGGTTCACGACGCAGCATGCTAACCACTACACTACCACTCCATATTCGTACACACCCAATTTAATATCTGCACACACACAGACACGCGCACGACCGTCAATTGACAAACCAACGCACGGCGGTGAGCATGCACTCTTTCCAATGGCTCGCTGAGCGCAAGCTCCCATTGTGGAGGCCAGCTCCGTGTCCATGCCCACTCTCACCGATGACGGCGGCGGACAGGGTGGTCTTGATGTAGGGCAGGCCGCTCTCAAAGGCCTCGCGCGCCTGGTACACGGCGCGATCCTTGAGCTTGTTGCGCTTGAGCAGCCTCTGCAGCTCGCTCAGCACGCCCACCCAGCGCTCCTTCTCTGTCTCGGTGTCCGCGAGGATCAGCGTCGATAACCTCGTACGGGGTGTCGTCAGCTGCGTCGCCGTCACCTGCAGTGCATGCGGTTGGTGTGTGAGATTGGTGCGTATAATTGGTGTGTATAATTGGTGCGTGCGATGCATGCGATGCATGCGATGCGTGCGTGCAGAGTAACGTGCGATAGGAGTTTTTTTTTTTTTAACACCGTGACACCGCCTGCGATTAAAATCTGGAACCTGTTGAGTTCCATGCATTTTCTGTGATCCTGAGATGAAGCCGGTTGGTGTCGCTGTGAATTCTGGGGTTTCTGCAGCTCGATTGGCGTGTGGTGGCAGGAGCTCGGCCGTAGCTGTACGACTCACCCTGAAGATGGAGGGCACGTCCTTACGGTTGGCGTGGATCACGTCAGAGGCGAGGACCGAACTCACAGAAAATTCCTCATCCCTGCATTCCGTGCACACACAAACACAAAATAGTTTACGCGTACGTTTAGATGTGCAATGCTGAAAGAGTCGAGTGACAGATCGGCAGACATTTACCACTACTCATCCCTACTTGTGCAATGTAAAAATTACTTTAACCAAAAAATAGGTGCAATGCTCTTTGTTCACATCTACAAGCAAGGTAACTTGATTCAGGCTGCCAGATATTAAATGTGCACCACGAGACTCCTATACGAAGCACCATGCTGCCCGGCTGAGTGGCTGACCTCATGTCGATGACGTGGCTGACCCCCACATTTGGCAGCGCCGTCTTGCCCTCGGGGATGTCGAACAAAACGAGCTTGAGATCGCACACCACCGCGTACGCCCTCTGCCAGCCCTTCTTGACGCCCGCTGGCTTCGGCACCTGCGAGAAGATGGGGAGGGGGGGGGTTACGATCATTGACTTCCTTTCTGTGCCACGTGGTATTCAGCCTCACTCTACGGAATGTCTCAGAAATGTAGTTTGATACAAATGCCCTGGATGATAGTCAACTTGATTAAAATCCATGGCAAAGTCAATATGCAATCTATAGTTTCAAGCAGTGACATCTTCTGGAGTTCACAGCCAGCTACGTTCAGTGGAATTGTGGCTATACTCTGACAGAAATTCAAAAACAATTAGAACCGTTCCGTACCCAACTTTCTGTCCATCCTTGAATAAGAAGGGCTTTTTAAGGGAAACGCTATTTACGAAAGCCGAGCAGCAACACGAATCCCAATTCACTCGAATTGACGGACGGAGCGGCTCTGCGACCAACCGCCAGTTTCACACTCGTCGCCAACTTGTGAGCCACGCCAGGGCATGAAGACGTCTGGTAAAAAGCGAGCGCAGCGCTGGGGCCTCACCCGCACGTATCCCTCGTAGGCAGTGCCGGTGCCACGCTGCGGGTCGATACCCAGGGGCCGGCGTGTCTGGTCTGCCGGGATGGGGCACACCTGGGGTGCCTTCTCGGCACACGTCACGTGGCATGAGAAGCCGCACACTGCCGGAAAAAAGGGGGGTGGGGGGGGAAGCATGAGGATACATGCACGGACACAAGATATACACACACGACACAACACACATGCACGGAGAGACACATGTATGCGTGCACACGCGGACACACACGCGGACACATTCACAGACATCCACACAGAAACACACAATCGTATAAGCACACAGGCCTAAAGCTAAAGTATGACACCAGTAGGGGTTAACATACTAAATTGAAACACACTGATAAGGCAAAAAATAGATTTTACTCTTGATAGCAATACGGTGTCATTACAAAAATAAATAACGATGTGAAGCAATGTACGTTACCCTAACACCACGACCAGCGCACACGTGATGGTGGTACCTTCGCACGCGCAGCCTTGCCGCACCAGGCCCAACATGAGGGAGCTGCACTGGCTGCACTTGGTGGGGCTGCTGAATGTCCGCACCACCAGCGAGTGCGCCTTTGGCTGGAAGAGGGCAGCATGGGATTGAGGGGTTGGGAAGAATGGCAACAACGAAACCATCCGAATTAATACTTGTTGTGCTGTGTTAACACTCACGCTGTAAAAGATACTGCGAGTGTGTGCAAGTTTGTGTAAGTGTGAACGTGTGCCCGTGGGGAGCGGTAGCGTAGTGGTTTGTGTGCTGCGCTCCGAACTCTGCAACCAGAGTTCGATTTCCGCTTGTAGCCACCAACACCAGTGATGATTATCTGAACTGGTCTGGGTCTTCCCTAGGTCGACTCGGCCTCAATTGATATCCTGGTGCGGTGTGTAAGCATCAGCATTGAGTGCACAAAGGAGGCCAGGTGTTATGCTCGTCACCCATCCCCTTGTGTGCTGGCCGTAATAGGAATTCGATAACAGCACTTTTCCCAACAGTCTGTTAAGACTGTAAAGGGGATCTTTGTCTTTGGAGTAGTGACAGGTTGCCGAGTTGGAAATGTAATCCTGTAGCCACAGAGTTCAATTTCTGCTCACAACCAAAATTGCTGGGGAATATTTTAACCAGTCATGGACACCTCCCAAGGTCGACACAATCTTATAATTGTACCTTGTATAATGTATAAACGTCACCACTAGACAGACAAAGACGGCCAAGCGTGGTTCTCGCCACACCGTTCCCTCGTGTGTGCCAACCAATGTAATTACTACACAGCACTTGCCCGAAAAGCCTATTGTAGGCGGCATGGGAGAAATTGGCATTTTGTTTTGTGTGGAGACGGGGGGGGGGTGGCATGGCCAGCAGCCGCACTACCTTGGCCTGTGCAGCCGTGGAGTGCACAGGCAGGGAGGTGGCGCGCGACAGCTGTGAGACCGGGCCAGGACGCAGCTCTGCATCCTGTGCACACCACACCACATACGAGCACTCAAGGACGGCCTTATAAGAGGTGCTCGCCATCAGTACTCGCCACACCAGTTTATCAGGCTAAAATAGGGGATATATTCTGCGATAAAGAGTGAGCCAAGCTTCCTATTAGCTAACCTTATTACGGAAACAAGGAATGTAAACAATGGTGCACGGGGCAACTTACGTCTGCCTTGTCAACCGGTGACGACGGTGTTTCATAATATCGCACAAGGGAGTTCCTCGAGTCCTGTTGTTTGAGACCTGCGCACAGCGGTGGCAACAATAATGCTCAGGGCATTGTTCACCCACGACGCGCTGGGTGAGGGACCCCGAATATTGGCCGCCTCAAAAGGTGACAATGCAAACTCGAACACTGCACCACCGTTACGTGTGGGGGCTGCCTTTTTACCTTTGTCTGGTTGCCTTTTCATCTCGGCCACTTCTTTCTTAAGGGTGTCCAATTCTGCCATGAGGCTGCTGTTCTTCTTCTCAGTTTCTTGCAGTTTCCTGTGAATGAAAATATGTATTAAAAAAGAACACCTCATGAAGTGCGTTAACCACAAATTTAACCACACTTGCAATCCGAAACTGGCAGGGGGGGAGGGAGCATCTCCACGATCTCGTTAATTGTTTGTTTTACAGCCCACCAACGCAGCCCTCAAATCAACCTGACAATTTTTTACACGTGAATTCCGTTAGGGATCACCGCTAAAAAAACAAACAAATATTTTTAGATGCCAATTTTATTTAAAGCCGTTTCCACGCGCAACAATGCCGTGCCTTAGCGATAAGTACAGACTCAAAAGAATCGGCGCACTGCACAGGGGATAATGTTTTCCCATTCCGGGGCCTACGCCCATAATGCTTTCCTTTGAGGAGTAAAACTTCACGCACTATATATATATATTTTTGTCTGTGTTTACACACCACCGCAAAGCGGTCAGGTCTTGAGTTCCCTACTGGGGCTGACAGGAGTATGAGTGACGAGCACGCCCCAATAATCACCCCGAGTAATTTTCTCCCTAGACGGCATACCTAGGGTGCTCGCCTTCAATGACAGGAGAGGGGGGGGGGCACGTGGGGGGGGGGGGAATTTGAAAAAAATAAACAGAGCAGTCTCTGCGGTTTGTTTTGGTAAAGCGCAGGCATTCGCACAGTGAGGTGTTTGTCTCAAATGTCCAAGTTCGGCACGTGCTGGAATGCAGTCGATTGTGCCGGTGGGACGGCAGTGTTGGTGTCGCTACCACTAGGGGGCTCCCTAACACTTCCACGGCAGTCGGATTTCACCTCGTCTGGTCCGACCAGATCGAGCACGGTTTCGGATTTATTACGCGCGTCCCAGTTAACGTTCATCCAAAGGCACTGTCCATCAAATGTCCAAAAATGTACAAATGTACGTATTTGTGGATGGGTTCAAATGTATGCCGGGATTATGGGGTGAAAAGTACAGCATGGGGAATACAAGGTAAACGAACCATGAGGGATTGAGAAAGTACAGGTCCAGAATAGAGGTTAAAGCTGACGACTGCATGTGGTGGTGTGTTAAGAAGAGGAGGAGGTGGTGGGGTGAGTCAAGATTGACACAGGGGATGGAGACGTCAGTGGCTGCTCGAGCAGAAATCAAAGAAATTGGTAAACAGGAGAGACAAGGTCTCAGCGATGTGGGATGGGAGACAAGGACTCGAAGCATTTATAAAACTAAGATGGCAATCTTGCAGTATATTGTGTGACATTGGCATGAGGTTTGTGTGACATCACCAAGCAATTAGGGGCAGCGCTGACGCTCACGCTGTGGCGCTTCCGCTTCCCGCCGTCGCGTTCACACTCGCACGGGACACCGGCACTCACCCCTCGGTGGCCATGTGCGTGGCCTTGATTCGCGTGAGCTCCTCCTGCACGCCCTGCTTGGCACGGATCTCCGCGTCAAGCGCAGACTGCAGCTCCAGCCGTGCGGACATCTCCACCTTCTGGCTGCGCCTCGTCTTCCACAGCGTGTCCTGCCCGAGTCACAACGCGGCGAGCACGGCGCGGTCAAACGCAATGCCCCTCTCCGATCTCGACCTCGCAACTCCCCCACCCCTCCCCCAAATCCATGCTGTCCCCACGACATGTGCGACTGTCAACGCGGGCGCCTGATGCCGCATCATCAGGCGCCTGCGTGACTCCAAGACTGGCGAGCGTGAGCAGTCACGTAGGCACTGCGTGAGAAAAAGCTGTTGATGGACTTGGCGCCAGAGCAGCTGCTGTTATGATGCACCACCGGATGTGCCTATATAACACACTCTATACGACTGTTCCATCACTTGTTTGTTGCCTAAACTCCCACAATGCATGCCATGTGCGTGACTATACTTAATCTGTAACCAGTATGCCACTCTTATTTTCAATAAAGCATGTGTAAATTTGCTCTTTCGAGATAAACTAGATCAAGAAAAAGTATGACAGGGTCCCTGTGGTCTTTATCAATGTTGGTTTCTTTTATGCAATCTGCGGCATTGCACAGCCCTCTCTTACAATGGCCTTGACCCCAAAAGCATGATGCAAGCCCTGCAAACACAGAGCCAATAAGTTACTCCTCCCGCAGTGCTAAAGCGGCGACGAAAACAAGCAACAAAGCTTTTGCCGTCCAGGCTTTGAACCAAAAGCGAACAATAGCTCAAACTGGCACATCTCCTTGCAGTCTTTCCATATTCTACATTGTGCGAATGTAAACTAGGAGGGATCACAAAGGCCACTCGCGGTCACTCGGCGGTTGGTGGGGAGGGGGGCGGCTCTCGCGTAGGAGGCCGGGATGTGTTACGTGCGTACCACATCTCGTCACAGAATGTGGTGCGCATGAGGCCGTGGGTTCGATCCCGACCCTGACGCCTGTATAATTGGAGTTTGTATGTTGTCCCGTGGTCGTGAGGATTTTTCTCCAGGTAATCGTTTTTTCTTCCACACAAATACTCTCAACATGCGTTTAGAGTATTTGGTTGATATAAATTCCACGTGATAAGCGACTTCGTTGAGCTATCATTTGTGGCCAGATCGTTTCTGAAAAAGAGTGAAACAGCTCAGTGGGCCTTACCTGGAAAAATTTAAATAGTTTAGTTAGATTAGTTTTCACTCCCGTTTATTAAGAGCAGAGCCGGGACCAAACACAAGGCATTTTCACATGAAATTCACAACGAAGCAAATATTAAATATAAGACGCACTTGATGTTTGTTTTTACGCAAGGTTATACTCGAATCTCGTTTGTTTTTGTTGAAATTCTAATCAACTATGCTCAAGCAAAAACACACCATAAACCAAAAAGCGACACCTAAATATTTACTTTAGTGTACAATTTCAGTTATCTTACGACATGTTTATTTAAGTCTTGTTTATTATTGCAAATTATTATAAACAGAATTTAAGTAAACAAAAAGAAAATTAAAGAGTAAAAATGTGCAACGGCAGAGGGGACCAGGAATGCTGCAGTGCACAAATGTAATGACAACGATAGAAGGGGTTTGGCAAAACGTGCAGTGGAAGAGGTTCGTTGCACAGTTCTCGGTGACATGGCAGCACTGAGTGGACGGGCCAACAGTGCGCGGTAGCGACAAGGGGACGTCGTAATCATGGGAGGCAGCATGAGGTAGAGCAGAGTGGACATGCGTGGAGATCGCTTGCAAACACGTCTGGCCAGGCGGACGAGCCTCTTTGGCCGACCTGTCTTCACCGATCTCCGAGGGATGAACGGTCCCCGCTGCTATCGGCTTCGCTTTCGTCTCGAGCCGACGTAGCAACAAGCGGCCCACCCAATACGATTGGGTTTGGCTCGTACGACCAGCCGTCACAAAACTGTATGCGCTCATTTGTCTCTGCTATTGTTGGCACTTGTGGCTAAATAATGAAAACAATAACAAAGACTCTGCACAGCTCTAATCTACGGGTTTTTCCACTGACGGCCTCATGCCACGTGCGTCGTTGCCTTTCTGCGCTCAGTGAGCGCAGAAGATAGAATGAAACGTGCTTAACATTGCAAATGATTAAGTTCTATGCTATGAACTAAGGTCTTTGTCACGAGTACAGCCGCACATTTCCCACGTTTGGTCACTAATTCTACGAGTGTTAATGCATGACCAGACTTTGCCACCAACACCAAATGTGCCATTTCGGAGGGGGGAGGGGGGAACCATACGATAAGGCACAACATTTCAAAATAACAGGAACAGCTTCCACATGATTCACAAACAAACACACGCATTGAAACGGGTGGGATGTGCTTTTGTGAAATTAACATTCTTACAGCAGGAATATGGTTGAAGGCGGCTGCCGCTTACCTGCCTAGCGCCATCGGACTCTGTGTAGTTGTGGCAATAAGGGCTCAGTGTGTTCTGTAGAAATGCGGCAAAGGTGGAGTGGAACAGAAGAAGCAACCAAAGTAAGACACAAAATTAGACACCAAGAAAAACGTAAAGACAGAAAAACATAGCTCAACGGAACTGTTCTTTTCAAGTGGAAAATCATTATTTATTCAAAATTGAGAGAGAAAAAAGAAAGGTTAAATGAAGAGCAAGAAATATGTTTTCTCAAGTGGGCAAACGATTAAAATTATTCAAAAATCATAAAGTTAGGAGCTGTGAAAGCGTGGAATGGAAGCAGGCGGAGAGATGGGCGATCTGACGTCTTGTGTGACAGCATGCCGGCAGGCCCCCATCAGCACACGAGCAGCCCGCAATAAGCGGTGTACAATAACCACGCCATTATTACATATGCGATAACACACAGGACATCATTGCGAGATGTACAATAACCAAGACATTTCCACGATCCATGTTGACAAAAACAAAAACTAAAAAAATCGCCTCGACCAGGATAACAATGGAATCGCTGCATCTCACGACTCGCCAAGACGTTGGATCTCACCGTTACTTCCCAAAATAAGGACTGTGGGAAAGTAAAACTAACAGCGTGCACTGCTGTCCGATATAGAATAGCATCGCAAGTGCAGTGGGAGGCGGGGAGGAAGTCCTGTGTGTCGCACACACACCGACAAAGTGTGAGCAAACACTGCCCAGGCCCAAGACGAGAGGTGCCCCATTTAACACGGGTTTTTCACTGAATCGCTTGCTCAAAGCCGAGAAGTGTCCCATCTAACACGGGGATATTCACTGAATCGCTCGCTGGGAGTATTTACACTCCGGTTTGAACAGAGCGCCGTCCCCATACCATGGGTTTGGCACCGAGGCTGGAGTTGCGCAAGGAGTCGAGGTCCTCATTGAGCTTGGTGGCGAGGGCCTGCAGGTAGCCGCGGGCGTCCTTCTCGTCGCTGACCCTGCATCGCGGGGGCACGCAGATAAAGACAGGCAATTGCACGAAGAAGCGCACGCATGTCATATGCACAGGGCAAATAGATGCGCTCGGGCAACAAACACCCAACAAAAATGTAATGGTTAGCCTCTGTGACTGGTCAAGTGCTGTCCAGGAGCACCTATAATGACAAGCACTGCTCACTAAAGACGGTGCATGTGCAGAACTACACTTGGTGCCCCCTTAGTTCTCCCAAAAGATGCAGTTGTTCAGACAACTGCATCTGCCGCTTCTTTTTGGTTCGAGTTGAGCATGCCGAGGAAGTGGCCAATTTTCAATGGAGTTTCAAACATCATACTTAGCGATGATATGAATGGAAGCATCACATAACCTTACACCAGTGTTCTTCATTATAAGGCCCGCAGCCCACTGGCGGCCCCTGATGGCCTTGAGTGCAGCCCCTGACGTGCGGGCCCCCGACAATAAACAAAAATGACAACCCCCATCGAGCGGTCAAAACCCAATGGTTTCAAATGTGTGGCAGAACTCACACTGATGTCTTATCAGTGAAAGTGGTCCCCCTCTGAAAATAAGTGAAGAACACTGCCTTCCACGGTGGCAATGATAGAACACTATTTCCACTCAACATGAAGTGAGCGACTTCAACTCGCACATGGTCGTACATGGGCGTGGTGCTGTCCTGTTGGCAAGCCAGTCTTTAGACTTTAAAGGTCACACCACGCTCTACTCGATAAACAACGATTCACCCTCCTGCACCTGCGACGTTATGATTCAGTCACAAATCAAGTCAAAGAGATGCTTTTTCCTCTTGTCATTTGCATTGTGCCTGGCATTTCTTGTCTAGGTTTTCGGTCCCGTTCATTCAATTACCATTTGCTAAAAGCTTGCATAAAGAGCCAATAACTGATCCATACACACAGAAAACAGAACTGCATGTAATATGTATAAACACATCATGGGTGTAAGAACTCAATTTAAATCACTCTTAATAAATAAATCGTTTCATGCCTACCGCTCCCACAGTGCTCTCCATGCTCAGACACGTTGCTTTAATAACCAAAAAATTAACCCTCCGGGCTCCTGAGCCACATGTCGCCCACGGCAAATGTGCAAGAACGTTCACTCAATTCGGGTTGAAGAGGCATGGCAAAGTGACCCTCTCATTAAATGCACGACCAAGGTTTACATTGGCTGCGGGTCAAGCATTCCTGCTTGGCCGTTCTCCCACTGTGCTCCCTGCTGAAATTTTCGCCACGAACACATCCAGAGATGGAGGGAGGGGAAGTGGGGGGGGGAGAATGTGTATTGCTGCGGGATGGTTGCGTGGCATGGAACACAAGTCCCGACGGTGATCGCTTTCAGACAGTGGCTTCCTCAGCAATGGCATCTCGACAAATCTTTCTCCGGCGTGCGGTGCCACATGCCAAAAGCAGTCACACGAGCGTACTGCGGCACACCCTCACATCAACGCAGACGTTTGCGCGAACGTCCACTTGTCAGAAATGTATCACCGGCTGCAAGCGAGGCTAGGAAATACTGCTGCATCTGCTACCAATTTCCACTTTGCAAAAACATCTTTGGAAAATGTTCGATCGTAAAAAAAAAGAAGATGAAAAAAATATCAAAACCGTCGTTGCTTTTGAAAAACACACGAGAGAGCAAGTTATGTAACACCCGGAGCTTAGATATGCAGAAAGCAACTCAATGAACCGCCTCAAACCACAAAAACAGAGGCCTTGTTTTTCTGCGAATGAGCCCTCACAATCAGCCACCGGTGAATGTTTTTGTGTGGTCGGTCAACGAGACTTGTGGCCAGGAACCTCGCTGGGCCAGGAACAACAGCAGAGCTCGCGGCCTGACCAAGCCGACGACCGCTGTTCAAGGAGCTTTTGGTTCCGCAGTGCGGCACGTGCCTGCTGCAAATTTGTACACTGCTTACTCGCAACAGTCAATGAAGTGTTTCTGCCAAACTCCTTGTAAGTCAGTGTGGGTTCGCGGGCTTCCAAGGAACATATCCCTCTGTGTGTGAATAAATATATAAAAACTGTTAAACTATGTTCTATCCATTTCCAAAAGGGGACACTAAACTTTTGTGAAAGGATTTCCAGTCCAAATAATGTGCAACGTTACACTTTGTTATTCTTATTTTTTTCTCAATGTAACCAGCTGGGAACACACAGGGCTTCTTTTTATATTTCAATAAGCGTGCAAAACCTAACGGGCCGACACGGTCCGGGAAAAGCATGCCGTGTGAATATCATCCGTCGATACCCCTGAAGAGGCTTTTGCTCACGATGTCACCCACGGGCCCCTTTCCCCTCGCTCCTCTCTGCCACTCCCCCTCCCCTCCTGCTCGATGGCACTGTCCCAATGCCCCCGTGGGCCCAGCACCGTCTCGCGGCAGTGGCGCCAGAACGAGTGCCGGGCCCTGCAGTGGAGCGCCGTCACGCCTCCCCATCCCCGCGACTCTCTCTCCACAAACACGGCCGCCCGAGGGCTCCAATGGTGACCAGAGCGGTTGGTGGACATCGCTGGTTTGAAATGCTTGCGAGAGAGCGTTGCGCATGTGCAGGTATACCCACCACTGGATGATCTCGGTGATCTGTGCCTCCCAGTGCGCAACAGACTGCTTCTTGTCTTCCAGGTCACGCAGTTCATCCTCCAGCTGCCGCTGACTCCCCGAGAGGCGCTCCACCTCCACGGCAAGCTGCTCGGGGTGCGGGACAGGAGAGCAGATGACGACGATGACGGCTATTTATAACAATTAAGTCAATTGAATAATGTAAAATGAGAAAATATAGCCCATGTAATAATAACGGTAGCTCTTTAACCAGGAAACTGTTGCTGAGGGCACGAGACCTTTAAAGAAGTATCCTGCTTGGAATGTTAGGTCCAATTATGAATTGAAAAAATGTTGTAAAAGTTCCTGGAGAAACCCACACAGAAGTGGGATTAACGCTAAAGTGTCCACACAAACAGGTCAGTAACTAACTTCACTGCTATCCCATTCACCACCTGTCCAACCCGAGGTATATTGTAGGCAACTCTTCGGCACATTCCCACTGCGGACAATCATTGAGCATACCACATCCTTCTAGTCCAGGACAAGTGTTTACAGTTTCTCAAAACCTTCACGGGAAAGCAGGGTGGCAGCAACCGTGCCTTATTGATCTGTCCACCCATTCACTGCCCAGCCACCACAAACAGAAGCAAGGGCTCTCACCCGGTCCACTTCCTGATTGAGCTTCTTGTTCTCGGCAGTGAGGAGACTGCGCTCTCTCTCGTACTTATTCTTGAGCTCCACCACCACCTCGTCTTGTTCGCTTTGGCTGCGGAGGGGTGTGGGGGTTCATGTGCACAACTTCATAACGGTCGCCTCCGTCGCTCCGACTGCGGACGGCGTTGCCCAATGCCGTTGCTCGCTATTCTTAAAAAATGAGGTCGTTTCCCATGAAAGACAAGACGTTGCTGGGAGGTGACACTAATTTCGGGATGTGAGAATTAACCATGCCGGAATTATACAAGTACGTTTTTATGAACAGAAATTCAACATTTTCACACATGTCCAAAAATGTTAACAAGTCTGTCCATACCAAATCACGCCAACTGTTTATTTAAAAAAATGTGAATGTAATCAAGAGTGCACCGATTGAGAAGCATTTATGCAAACAGTTTCCCAAAAGAGTCAACCTAGACCTTGTGCTGGCTTTACCATGATAACCTTAAGAGGCCCAGCAAACGGTTTAAGTGGCGAGCGCCCGACCCCCGCCCATCCGTCCCATGACCTACCTCTCGCGACGCGCCTTGTCCAACTTGTCTCGGATCATGGCGACCTCCTTCTGCAGGACCAGATGCTGGGCCTCGGCCTCCTGCAGCTCTTTGCGCAGGCCGCGGATCTCCGTGACGTGCGTGGCGTCGCGCTTCGACAACTCCTCCTCGTACGACACCTTCATCTTGTCCTTTTCGGCGCGCAGGCGAGTCATCTCCTGCTGGTGCTCCAGGCTGCTTACGCCCGCTCCCCGCCCCACCTGCTTTTGCTGCGCTCGGCAAGCAGTGTGGCACAGCGAGGACCAGGGTGTCATTGGGTGGCATAGCCGCGCGTGGTGGGCGAAGCGTGGAAAGGGAGGCGAGAGAGTTGGTGGAGGGTGGCGTGTATGTTGGCGGGCGCAAGGTTGCACGTCAGGTCGGCGAAGTGGCACGGGATGTCGGTCAGCATTTGGTGGTGTGAGGTGAAGGTGCGCAACGATCAGAGGAGGGCATGGGTGGGACACAAAACAACAACAACCTTCAGACTCGGCCTTCGTCATAAGACATTACGCACGCCTGCTCATTTGCAAACTCCGGGCACTTGCGCACACGCACGGCTTGCCGACACAAAGAAAGGAAACCGCAAACCGCTAAATACTGGGTTGCCACAAACCCCGCATTTCCTTCCCGCAGCCGCCACATCCTGCCGTTGTACCGAACCGGCTGCGCTTTTACATCCCGCGCTCTTCCTCGTTGCAAAATATGCACGCGCGCCAGCAGGCCCCCCATCAGCAAGTGCGCATGGGTGCAGCCGCCCAGGCCGACAATCCGAGGTGAGAGTACGAGGGATTCGGCGAGTCAAGCAGTCACACCGTTACCTTGCTCAGCTCCTCCTCCAGCTGCTTGGCGTACTGGTCGCTCCGCTCGCGGAGCTTGCGCTCTTTTGAAGCCTCGGCCTGAAACTCCTCCACCTGGGCCTCCAGCTGTGGGGTCGCCGGTGTGGAGAGAATTCATTTCAGCGTTCATTTTTTTGCCAACGACGTGCTGCTGGGCAGGGCAACGTGATTTTCATCTGGTGATGGGGTGTTGCGGGGAAGTATAGTGAATGACAGCACCTACAAGGTTAGCCTCACAATCTCAGCTCAGCATTCAAGGGGACTGTTACTTGTTATCCCAAATAAAAATGCTTCCATAATTCAGAAAACAAGTTAAGCAAGGAGCTTCTTCGGAGGAAATATAATAACAAACGTAATTTCAGGGACAGCATTGGCAGTTGAATAAAAACAAGGGCTGAGAAATGGAGCTTATTTCGAGTAGTTCTGAGGAAAGGCTCTTTCTTAAAACGTTATCTTGGAATAACTGCTTCGGTTAAGGAAGTGCTTGTTAACGATGATGGTGGAAGAGTATTCACAGGGCTAAAAGCCCAAAACACTCGCTGCTGTGTTAACTCCTGGTTCACTGAAAACCTCACACTCAAAACCAATTCCTATTTGCTCTCGGGGCTGATGTTTTAGATAGATCCTTTATTGTCATTGTCACCAGTACAACGAAATTTAGCACTGAACCTTTGTGATGTATTTGCATGAAATGCACGGACGAAACTGTTTCAAACGATTTTCTCAGCATGTTTTTATTTATTTTTCTGTCTAACATTGCTTCATTTAGAGTTTACCTTAATTTGTAAGACCATGTTACTCATTTTTCTGTATTGACACCCTGCGCTATACTTATCATTGTTAAGACCCAATGTTTTTAAAATTCCATTATTTATTGTTTGGCGAGTGGACTCAATGCACTGCTGCATTGGCATTCCTGCCTTATTCCCATGCAGTCTCCAATCCCTGTATGAACCAAGCGCAAGCCTTCTTAGGCTTCCCACATCTGAGAAAAGCAGGGGTTAAACAGACTCATTTGGTTTTATACCAAAACTAAGTTTGCGCTGTGCCCGTATTTCGTTGTACGTATTACACCCACCTCCTTGCGGGCCTTCTCTGCCTTGCGCCCCTCCTGCTTGAGCCCCTCGACTCGCTGGAGCACAGCCTCCCCCTCCTCCTCCTTGTCACGTAGCTGCCGCGCCAGCTTCTGCTTCTGTGAGCGCAGCTCCGTCATGCGTTCGTTGATCTCGGAGAACTCCGCCATTGCCACCTTGCGCTGGTTGTGAGCATCCTTCAGCTCCTTGGTCTGCGTCTTGAGTCTGTCGTGCGCCTCCTGCAGCTCCTGTCGTCCGTCCGGCAGAGCAGGGGATGAGCGCGTTATGGCACGCAAACACGTACATGCTCATACACACACCCACACATGTGAAGAGTAATAGCACTGGCTGCTGACGAAAAGTGGTACCGACAGCGTATCGCAATACACACGTCAGCAGGCGACAGTATATACGGGGGGGAAAGACAACTAAGGGAATGCTCAGGAAGGGGTCCATCTGGAAGTCCCGGGAACCTGCTAGTAGGTTCCAGAAAGGGGGGCGTGGTGAGGGCAGAGCAAGGCCATGCCAGAAGCATAAGAGGGAGCCCTGAGCGGGATCTCGGGGCTGTTGCTGAAAGTGAATGCCCTTGCCGTGCTACTGTTCATCACCATCGTCACTGTCATCTTCACCATTACTGGACGCCGCAAGCCAGACAGCCTTCCAACTGTACTAGCGAGACAGTGCCGCTGACAGTAGACAGCTGTGTGTAATATATCTAGGTCTCCCCAGGTGCTGAAGTTCACACAATGCACAAAGTATTATTTTAAGGCTGAGTCGACCTAAGAGAGGTCAGAGACGAGTTAAAAAATCGTCACTGGTGTTGTCTGTGAGCGGGAATCCAACTTGGTTTGCTGGGCCCAAAGCAGAATGCGCTAACAACTCCGCCACTGCTCCCCAAAGATATGTACACGCACGCATGCACACGTGCATGCAGGCTCTAACCCACATGCATGTACCACACATAAAAACACGCACCCGCACATGTACACACTTGCATGCACGCACACACGCGCACATATATAGCATATGTGCGCACACACATGCACGCGTGCACGCCAGAAACAACACAATGCAAGATTTGCAAGGCAATACACAGGCCAATCAACATAAAACAAAACAAAATTATCTGGAGTTTGATACACGCAGGCACGGGGGGTTGAGAAAGAATGACACCTAAATTTAACAAGAGACATCCGTTGCCAAACAAAAAAAGGAGCAACCGACACCTGCTGGCTGCTGCGCCATACAGAAAATTGCTGCATCAGCGGCATGGCCGCGCACGTTTTCCTGTCTCTGTGTTTGCACAACCGAAGCTCGGAGAGCGCCACATGTTAAAATCTCAGCACGGGCCAGCACAAAGGGGCACCCGTCCGCCGACCCATCCATCCAACTTGCCAATCTTCCCCACCACAAAGTTTCACGAAAACTTCAAACGCTTGCAACTCAATAACACGGCCGTGAGCGAGCTGAAGATGGACCGGCGGTTGCCGTCGAGTGAATGCCGAGGTGATCCAGCGGGAGCTGCCCGAGTTACTGAACCCCCACAATGCACTTCTCGCTCTGGCCGGATATTACAACAATGCCTTCCAGAGCAATAAAATGTTCACCATCGCTTAAAAACGCAAAGACACAAGAGCCATATCGACGCTGCCTTTTATACAGCCTTGCAAGATCGTTGTTTTATTACTATAGAACGTATTGTTTTCATGCGATGCCACCGGAAAGGCTTTCACAGGTGCTCGGTTTTACTGCGATATACTCATGGGAAAGTGTCGGTTTTGCCATTTACACCGCACTCTCCTCAAATAGCCCCCCCGTGCACAAGCCTCCCACCACCGCCCACCGAACCATGAGATCGCGGGGGGCCAATTCCTCTAACACGCTCATCACCTGCATATCCGTTACCACTGCCCTGTTATGCTTTTAAACACGAACGGAAGAACAGATGTGTCTTGGGACATCCTTAAAGCCAACATTTGTACCCGTAACTGTTAAAGTAAATCAGCACTTTCGAACGTCGAGCGCTTCTGACATTGGCACACGCTGTCGCTCGTGGTTAGGACAAAGAAGGGTTAACGTATTCATGCATTTTTGTCATAATAGCGGTCCTTCATATCGGAGAGGCGCACTGAGTCGCAACGCTCGTTCAAAAGTCTTGTTTGGGTTGTTTGCTCAGCTCCTTACTGTGGGTTTTTTTTTCTAAACGAATCACAAACTTAAACTTGACCCTAAAGTAGAGGCGCGCTTTTAGGAAAAGGAACAGTCAACATTGAGCCACCATGAAAAAAATTACATTGAGTAACAAAATTGTGTCACTACTTCATTGAGTAATTAAGCATTATTAGGTAGTTAAACTGAGCAACAGAAAAGTAAAAAACAGAGACAGCATAATTCAAGGTTCACGCCAACTATGGCCGACCTCCAGCCAAGATTCCCGACAAGAAAAACAGAGAGGCACTTGAAAGGCAGAGGGCGAGAGAGCGGGTGAACAGAGGGGGTAAGTTCAGCTGTGACATCAGCGCCCCCCCTTCTCAGGAGGTGGCTTTGATGTTTCTCCGTCTTGCCTGGAAAAACGGCTTCCCCACACACTCACTCGCCTCCCCACTGTGCCCCCCCCCCCACAGCAGCCACTCTCCACCACGACAACCCCTCGTGCTCGCCCCCTTGGCATTAAACTAATCCTCTGGCCCCGAAACGTTTTAATCCCTTTGGCAAACTGACTTTTATAGCAACCTTTCAATGCCCTGACAACGTAATAATACGAAGCAGGGCTCGCTCTCTAATGTGGCTCCTCTCTCGATCAACTTGGGCTTTAAAACAACACATTAGCTCGCCTCACTTAAAACCAAGTCCATCCGGATCTGAGGCTCACACTTGGGTAAATACGATCAGTGTATTTTTAAATCTCCGAGTTATTCACGTCTTTTGCGTGCCATCACTCTGACAAGAGCCCAGGCATTAGTTGGTATTAATTACCAATAAGTCATCACACAGGAACGAAGAGACAGATTTAGGAGCGCTGTGCTGTTTTGGTTCCTTTCGGTTTTATATCATCCAGCTTTATTGCTTATGCAAATACATGGAAACGTTTAAAACTTGGCTATACTGCATTCACGGGCTGGTCCTTACTTATGAGGTGCAGGTTACTGATGGACGGCCCACATTTTTGAATGTGCGTCTTTTGATTCAAATATGCCTGTCAAGGTGAAACCTTTTAAAAACGAATATTGCATATTTCCTTCCAAATAAAAAAAACACACGATGCAATTGGCATTAATTTTGTTAGACTGCAATGCACACCGCACGTGTGGAGAATGACGAACGCCCGTGTCGTCACTACGAGTTGCAAGTGACAAAAATATGATGTCAAACGGTGAACGCGCATGTCCTGATGCAGCAAATTCTTAAGAACATCTGGGTTTTATTATTTGTGACTTTAGCCTTCGAAGGCCTCATGAAATCAAAAGCCTGGCATTCCAAAGCAAGGCTTATTTAACTGCTATCACCATTACTGGCAACTCTCCTAGGTGTGACCGTGCGCAAGTCAGTGTGAGTCAGGACACATGGGGGATGCGATCGTGTGTGCCCACGTACCCGGTGCATGTCATCCTTCTCCTGCCGGGTGACCTTCAGCTGCTTCTCGAGCTGCTTCACCTGCTGGCTGGCCTCGTTGAGTGGCTCACGCCGCGGAGAGTCTGTGACGACACCGCAAAAGAGAGGGCACATGCTCGTCAAGACACGGCTCCAGATTAGTTCGGTCATCGCAGGAGATTGCACGACAACCGGACCCCAATAGACTTTTTCCCCACTCAGTAGGGTGCACGCTTGTGTGGTAAAGCACCACATTGGGTGGTGATCCCTGAAGTATCCCCCCGCCCCCCATCCAACACCGGGCATCGAGCGAGCAGGCGGCTCTGCTTTGTGATCACGACAGTGACTGGCACTTGGCGGTTCAGTATTGTCGGGTGAACCCAAAACCGGATAAACGCGGCGTTCCCACAGTAATGTACGACAGATGAGCCCGGTACAGCCTATGTCATGCTCTCAAGGGCCAGGGCACAGTGGTATCAAGTCTTGGGCCTTATTATAAATGAGCATGTTGCATAATGATTGAAATGATCCATAATTCGCAGCAAATAAACAGTAAATTAAGAGTCGGGTACATTTGTTGATTTGCATTCGATTCGGAATTAGTAAATGCAGATCGAAATGCTCTGGAAAAACTATTCAACCTTGTTGCTTACTGACAGTGTGCTAAGAGCAGGGAAATCAGGATTAACAATGCATTGAACTATGGCGCATAAACTATTTTATAAACGAAAGCTAAAATTAATTTCACCCACATGCTGGGCATCATTCTGTGAAAACGCACCCTTGGTGATACAATTAAAATAATTAAGACGAAGGGGGTTTTAAATAATTAACGAGGCAGACGCGGGTATCTCCTCATGCAAATTAGGTTGCGTTTTAAGCATGCTCGTAAATCTTTGCAGTCGGCGCTGGAACGGTAAACAGTGCTTCGGCTCACACTGCAACAGCAATCACTGGACACATCCCATCCACGCTGGCAGATCATTTAACATTTCCATGGGCGCCACCGCCACGAGAGCCATGTCGGCGAATCAGGCATGATTGTTTGGCAAGTGTGGGGTGATGTCGTCAATGAGCAGGCTATAATTGCCCCGTGACCTTCATAGGACCGGCCGTCAGGCTCGCGCCACGCTCCTCATGCTAGCTAATCGAGGACCTGTAATGCTGTCTATCTTTGGGAACAATTCCGCAGTTGTTACACCTTGTTAGTAACTACAAAAATTATTCGAAAAAAACACCCAAGCACAATGGCGACTGAAGCAATATTTATGGAGGCGAGTTAAGGAGAAAATGTTACCGAATCAATTGGTTCGGTATGAATAGTACATCCTGCAGCAACAACACTTTTGGTGATTTTACAGAGTGCTGACTGCAGGTGCGACTCACAACTAAGGCGCACAGAGTGGAGAGCTATCAATAATTCACAATCTCTCCACTGGGCACACCTGACGCAGGTGGTAAGGGGGCACATGGGGGAACGCTCCTTTCACGCGACATTTTCACCCTAATGCTGCGTGTGGTACAAGCCGGGCTGGCAGCGTGGGCTGTGGCGACAGGCAGCAAGAGCGCGTGCCCCCATAACGCCCTCCCACATCCCATCCCATCGTTTCCATGTGTATGTGTATGCGCTGGACCTACGAGGTGCGAACCATCAATGGCGCGATCCGGCGCTCACCTCGCCGTGTCGATACTCAGGAGCCACTCCATAAACAAATTATCGTCACTTACGGCGCGGCGAGATCACAAGACCCCACGCCGTGAGCGAGACGGGAAAACTGGGGTACGGCCGTCCCACTGGTGTGCATTGGTGTCACGCTTCTATCAACTGTATTTTTAACAACGCACCAGAGCACTCACTTACACCTCACCCTCTACGGCATTCCTCCGGCGCCATAAAAGAGCGAAAACTCTGGAAAGTCTCACCTCTGGGACTATAAGAAATAAAGACCAATGATGAAAGGGCGCAGGGCCGCACGCGGCATGCCTTTCATCGCAAGGAACGGAAAAGCCGGCCGGCTCCATGGTGGATGTGGTGCGAGACATGAGAGCGCGTGTGGTGGGCCGGGCGTCACGCCGACAGTCTCGCCGGCGTGTCGCCCCCCACTTCACATGTGCCAGACGTTGTGCCACCGCCAACGGCAAAATCTACTGAAATATTTATTCATCTTTATTACATGCATCCCTTTAAAAATGCATAAGGGGAACTGAAATAGCTTAAATCAATACTAATGGTTCAACAGAGACTTGATAAGTAGAGGGACTCTCTTAGTGCACGTCGCAGTCGGGGGGGGGGAGGGTGAAGACAAGCAGGGTGCAGGGTGACCGGGACAATCAAAGCCCAGGGCATGTGTGAACATTTAAAAAGCGCGCATGCAAATAGCCACAGCACGCTACGTCAACCAAGCTTTCTTGATAGGCCTCCTTCATAAATTGTCAGGGAAAATTGTATTATACACACTGATTTTTGTAATTGTACTATACTCTGTTTTTACAAATACTCTTATGCCCTTGACGGATCATTTTATATTTATACATCTCATTCTCCTGTACCGGAAAGCCTCACTGAGCATTGCCACTCCTGTTAAGGAGGATCCTGCATTCGGATGTTTGGCTAATTCTATAAGTAAATATTCTGTGAATGGGAGGCAATGGTACTATCAACAAAAAACACACGCATATGAGGACATAACACTCAAAGCTCGATAAAGATGGTTCTACACACCAACTTTCTGTACTGCTACCCAGTGGCCACTTCTAAATGCAGCGGCTCTGGCAATGTGTGTATGTATGGATGTTGAACTTCTTTCGCACCATATGTAGCCAACTGTGCTAACCGTGACAACCAGAGGTGCGGGTGATCCACCAAACGTTGCCTCCAAAGCTCCGGATCACATACGTGCGCCACCACGCTAGTCTGGCAGTACCCACAGGGTGCTCACCCCCATGCTCACAGGGGCATGGGTGGGGCCTGCTAGGGTCGTGAACTCATACGCACCTGGCTGGGAGGACCTGAGCCGTTCCACCTCCTCCTTGAGCTTACGGATCTCTGTGTCCTTGGAGGATGGCGATGGCGAAGAGCTCTCCCGCTGGCCGAATGAGAGGGCTTGCATTGATTCTGTAGGGAAGGCAGCAGTGGGGTCGGAGAGTCACCAACAACGTCAAGTGCTGAGCAAACATGGCCAAGACAATTCTCTCTTGCTTTTCTTCACGAAACATCTTGGGCTAATAGAGCATTTGAATGGAGCCACATTTAAAGACTTTGTAAAAACTAATGGAACAAGTGCAACATACGGAAAAAGTAGCGTATGTGTGCATATACACAACATGTACATGTTTTTGTAACAGGAAATACAGTTATATGTAGAAGAGAAGGGGAGGTTCTTGATGTATGTACATATGTATGTTGAACTTCTTTCGCACCATTAAAGGTGGTGTAAGGCAAGTCTGGTCAATGAGCTCACTCCGGCGAGTACAGCAGGTCTGGGATTTTCATAAATCGACTCGATCCATCAAGCCTTGCTTCCAAGAGCGGCGGGGATCACCGGGCATGCACCACCACCACCACCAGCAACCGATTACATTTAGACCCTGCCACATATTCCACTACTGACAGCTGGCAGAGGTAACCATATTGAATTATTCTGCTTGACTGAGGGTGCGTGGGGGCATGCGGACCCTGCAGCTTGCGCGTGAGCTCCTGCTTCTCCTGCTCCATGCGTTTGATGCGGCGCTCGTAGGCCTCCACCGCCAGGCTGTCCTCTAGGCCGCGCTGCACCAGGCCATCGGGCGGGTTGGAGCTGCTCTCCTCCGCGCTCTTCAGCATGCCGCGGTCTGACAGAGAGCTGCAGCGGTGGGGATGCAAGCGCAGAGATCAACTCGGCGGCAATGCGTTTGGTCGAGGTAACCGAGCAAAAACAGCGCGTGCAAAAATAGGCCAAAAAGCTACATTCTGGAATAAGAAAAAATTTGGGGGATAATGACAATCTAATTTGTAGGAAGATGCAACTAAAAAAAATAAAAAGCTCCTATCTTGTAGATACACACGAAGGCTGTGTATTCAGGACTATCTGACGTCACTTTAAAACTTAGTTAATGATGAAAATTAAAATACAATTCACAATCAGGTGCAACTAATACAGATGCATTTATACATTAAAATATATGGAAGCATCATCTGGAGTGTCAATTACACACTTGACTATAACTTTATAGTCTTAAAGCCTCACAATCGTCTCAAAGAGCCTAGGTCTCCAAGATCTATTCGCTATTTGGGTAACAGTCTCCCTTTCTGTGCGACTTGTATCTCACAAAGACACATTTTTAATCCTGTGCACAAGTAGGGGAGGGCAAGACCGGATGGCAACGCAACGTGAAGCGAAAAGCACATGGGCAAGGCAGGAAGGGGTAGTTTGGTCAGCACAGCAGCGTTTGCTGGGTGAACACGTGACGGCAGGCTCACCATTTTGTGGTGAAGGTGAAGCCCACGAAAGGCAGGTGGAGCCCTGAGAACGCCGTGTGGCTCGGCGGTGGCACTGCTTCCTGCAAGACCAATGCGGAGGGATCGGCATGACACGACATTGCTACTGCCCAGGAAAAAACGGTTCACGTGCCATCGCGGCTATGACACCGTTTCATTGGTCATTAACAGCCCTCATTGCACATTTTAAAAATAAACATTTTCCAAACACCCGTGAGAGCCATTAGCGGTTGACCTGATTTTCATTGGAAGTACATCTACACGAAGATTGTTTCCGACTTCCAACACAGAGCCAGAGCGGCACAAACCTAATCCCTTCCCAGCTGCTGCACATTTTTATTTTAATCGAAGAGCCACAGCTGATCTCAATACTGTAGAGCTTTCATTGCAGCCGGCCCAGCGAAAGTTCAAAGTGCCTCCCTGCTCTTGCGAGTAGGGCAGTGGTCATCTTCACCGCCAGCACAAAGTCCAGAGTCTAAATTTGACAGCTGGTAGGCCAACTCAACTCCCTCCACCAAAAAACTCAAAAGAAAGGAAACAAACCAATTACTCACAGGTAATAGTTAACCAAACCAAATCAAAGCCAATCCCTGTTTAGAAACTGTCGGCGAAACCTCCCTGGCCCCCTGACGTAACCCCGCAGACAAAATCCACGCACCGTGTTTTTCAAGTAGTCGTCGTCAACGTCGAAGTTTGAGGTGTCCGTGGGGCTGCTGACTTCGGGGATGTAGGGAGCCTCGCAGTTGCGGATGTTGTCCCAGTCGATGCCGGCGAAGAACGGGTGATTCTTGAAGTCTTGGATGCCGTTGCGGCCAAACCGCTGCTCCCGGCTGCAGATGAGGTGGCGGATGAGGTCCTTGCCATCGTCCGACACCTCCACCGAGTTGGTGGGGAACTGGAACCTTTCCTGCTCACGTCCAGTGGGTTCAGAGAGGCGGCGTGAGGCCTGGCTGGAATCGCAGTCATTGTAACCGCCGACCGACAAGCAGCGCATGGCGTGTTTATAAAACAAGTTCCCTCATAACTCATGAGAGCGAAATTGTCGCCTCCCCAAGCACAAACCACACGCGGTGCTGTGTTGACCGCAATACTGTGGGGTACCAAAATAACTGCAGTCACGTCCACAACACCGACAGATTCACTAATTGGATGTTATTCTCAAGTTATCGCAGATTACAGTGGGATAACATGGCAACTTTACCCCAGTTATACCTGTGAAAAATAATTCAATTGACATTTATATTTGGATTATTTTTTTCTTGGCATTATATTTAGTTGTATACCACTTAATTGCATTGACCGATTTTGTTTTCTCCATTGTATTATACACTGAACACAAATGTTTAATTTTACAGTAGCCTGCATGACCAATTAAAACAAGAAACATTTGTCACAATGGTTATCACCAGGCCAAAAAGGTTATTTGCCAGATTGGCATTGTGCCAAGTCAGCTAAGCAGCTCGGGGAGGAGGGAGGTTGCTTTTTCTGTGCTCTTGCTCTCAAAGCGTCTTGAAATTCCATCCCCATGGCGGTCCACACTTCCTGCGGACCACCGGGCAGCTCACCTTGTGGTTCATGATCTTGCCGTAGGTCTCCACCAGGGACTCCGCGTAGAAGGGAGTCTCGCCAAACAACATCTCGTACATACACACTCCCAGAGACCACCAGTCGCACTCCGGCCCGTATTTGCCCTTGCCATCCTCCATGGCCTGCAGGATCTCGGGGGAGATGTAGTCGGGCGTGCCGACAGCGACCGAGGACTGCACCTACGCACGGGCATGGCATGTCGTGTGTAACTCAAGTTGGACGACGACAGCATCCACTTGAAGTGCCCGCTAAAATAGCAGTGTAAGAATACTATTTTTGTGGATTATAGATGTACCGATATTTCACTTGGAGAATATACCACACAAACTGCCACATCAGTGCTGTCACGGGTGTCACAGAGCCCATTAGGCTGGGATGTCAATAATCCTGAGGCTGTCAGGGCAGGGCGTGTATTTAACAAGTGCTTCGTAAACTTAACTGGCTCTGCATATATCAATCATCATTTCCATTTTACCAATCATCACACGAGCTTCTTGAGCAACGGCATACTTTACATTTGAAGCAGAGGGCTGGTAAATACAGAAAGATGGGCTTTGAGCGACACGAGAAGCAGAGTGTGGGAGATGCGTAATCAATTCTTCGACGCGCGAGTTGTGCATAACGATTCGCCGTTGGCTCCCCGCGGCGGTGCCAGTGGCACTGGCCAAAGGGCTCTCACCGTGCCGTCCGTGAGCAGCTTGAGACAGGACCCGAAGTCGGCAAGACGGATATGGCCGTTCATGTCCAGCAGGACGTTGTCTGGTTTGATGTCCCTGTGGAGACAAGAAGTTGCATACTGACCGTAAGGGCCCACGGCCTCAGGCAAGCACATTCCTCGCCATTACGTAGGTACAACAAGGACGTTTCGCAGGTGATAAGGCTACGCACCAACAGGTGTGTGGGTGGCTCTGGGAAAGAATGATGCCACGCCCATCAACCACCACGGATGACTTCCAAACATCATCGCCGCTATGCTGTCCAGCAGGCAATGCTATGTTAACTAAACATCAATTTAAAACGTCTACTTTTCTTCTACCAGCATCCTCCTTTCATAACAAATAACCTACAATAATAAGAATTCACCTGACCGCACTTTTATGACCTTACCTGACAACACGCACAGGAGTTTACCTGGAAAGATCTGCAGGGGTTCACCTGTTCATACTTACACACTTCCAGCTGTTAACAGGAATATGGACGTTAAGAGTTTAATTTCACTCCATGCGCATTGACCAGGTATCATTTCCTTCTGCGTATAGTTACAAAAGAAAATCTATGCTCGAATATAGACTCCGTATGTCCTGGTTTGATATAGATAAACTAACTAAAATTACCGTGAACAATGGAGGCGAGTGAAACCATTCAAAACACGTTCATTTTGCTTTCCGTGAAATGGCAGACTTCATTGACACCGGATAAGCCATTATTAACAAGTTGGTGGAAACGCTCGTAGGGTACATTGCATTACCCGGGGCAAAAAAATCTGATCTTTCAAAAACAACGTAACCGCACCCAGGGCTTAAGCCTATATCGTGACAGGCGAACCCGCCAAGTTTCGCCCAGACATAGCTAGCCAGCAGTTATCGTCGCCTCTCCGCAAAGGACATCCCAGGCACGTGTCTCTCACTGCCACCAGTCAACGCGGTGCCACGTGATGGCATGGGCCAGCAGCATCGGCGTGGTGGCTTTCTATCGCAGCCTATTCCATGGTGCAAATTAAGACACACACGCGTCGTGTCCGTCGAAATGCTCACCAAAGGCAGCCTGTGGAATACAATGCAGTAAATAATTTGTTTTTAAGAAAGGGTCACTCATTGCTGCCGTGTAATATAAATGGTGATAGCGGTTTTTTGCGATGATTAACATCTGTTATCACAGATAAATGGTTTATTAATTTACAGCTGACTTACCACGACAATTGTTTCGTATGACATATCCGATTTACACAGTGTGTATATACGTGTGTATCTAAAGCACATTTATAAAGCACATATGTAAAACGTACCTCTGCACCAAGAGGATTTTTTTTCCAGTTGAAGGTCTAAGAAACATCCAGCTATGTCCGTCTGCGGCTATGACATTCACTTCACCTGACATTCCAGATTAAACGATTGGCAGTGCCTGTTGGGGCATCACACCTCCTGAACTTGGGCCGTTTCTAAAAACACCTCATTAATTTATTTCATTTTCAACAATGTTCTTCAAAAAGAAATGGTTCCCTGTGGATACCCAATCTTTCATTGTCACGTGGTGCTGACAGAGTGAAGAATTTATGCACGTGGGACTGCAGCTCTGAGCCCAGGAACCCTGTGCCCAGCCCCCTTCCGAAAACTGAAAATAACAAATAGCGTAGGGAATGTTAAAAGTCAAACGAAATATTCACCATTAACCAAATCACACGTGCACGTGTTTTTGATGTGGAGGTGGTTTGGAGGAGGGTGTAAGGTGAGAGATTGGTGCCATTTGGCCGTTTAGGGGAAACGCTGCAGATTACAAATGCAGATGTTTGGCACGGCTAGGGCAAAGCCTCAAGCGGTCAACTTTTACGTGATCAACAATTCTCGTTGTCCCCTTCGTGACATGGTATGCAAACTGGCGAGAACTGGCACGGAATTACAGCCATCCTTCTTGAATGTGGCCGAACATAGTACACAGACATGTCCCTGGCACGTCTGTCTGGAACTCAGCACCCCCCCACCCCCTTTGACACCAATCATCTGTAAACAAAGCATTGAGGCCCATTATGAAGATCACGTTGTTCAACGTAACAATAATAATTATACGGTCGTGGTGACCTTCTTTACGGTCGTGGAAGAATAAATATGTCCATAGCTTTCATATCCATGTAATGAGATGACAATCCCCACTGGTTTTTGCTTTCTATACTCAGCTTTTAGAAATTAATACATTTCTCTGCACTCTTGAAACCAACATTGCAGTTTTCAAGTGGTGCCATGGTGGCGAGATGTTAACTCCCTCACCTGGTATGCAGCAGGTCGTGGGGGGTTTGATCCCAACCCTGCGCCTCTATATTTGTAGTTTTCATGTGCTCCCCATAGTCGCGTGGATTTGGATCCGGGTCCTTGGGTTTTTCCCTCCAAATTTAGAAACACGAGTTGAGAGTATTTGGCTGCTAAACATTTCCACATAAGCCACTTCGTTGAGTTATCATTTGTGGCCAGATCACTTAAGAAAAATAGCTACTGTATATATAGCTCAGTAGGACTTACCTGGTAAGATAAAAAAAAAGTTTAGTTTTATTTAAGTATGAAAACTGAATTACAGTGTTAGGACACACAACAGAGTGAGGACACAGCCCAATAAGTGGAATCCGCTGCAAATCCACCATGGCTTGGCTGTACTGGCAACTTTGAAAATGTACCTGCCCCTTGCTTTTGTCAAGCCACTGCTGGATGACAGCCTCCCCAATGCATTTGGGTGATATGGGATATCAGATCATAATTCACCATCATAGTCAGTGAAGGTTGTTTCAGGTGGGGGTCAACGGTGTGAGAGCATGAAAGTACAGTACAACCGCTACGTAAGGCATGCGACAAATGCCAAGCGCTTGGCTGACGCTCATGGCTGTGAAAAAACGACGAACACCTTTGCGTGATCGCCCCCATGCGGGGTTGCAACCCAGTCGTCTCCTTGCAGACTTGACCATGTGCTCAGCGTGAGAGCTTTGAAAGCTGGCGACTGAATGGCGAAATTAATATTTTATAAAGTTTGGTGTAGACCTCCGCCTAACTTCATGTACCACTCAAGCCACACCGACTCCTCTTTAGTTTTACTTCTGCATGGCACAATAGTCCCCGATTAATTATTTACAGCGACGTGAACAGGTCTACGGCTGCAAGACGGCACGACACACCGTGCTCCGATCGTTGGCACCTGGCCGCCTGTGTCGGCCGCGGCAGCGTGGAACCGTGAGCACATGTCAAACATCCTGGAGGCAGGAGGACCTGCGATGCTAGCCATTCCACTTCTCCCTGGGCACCTCCACACCGATAACAGGAAACACATTTTGAGCGGTATGCTGAGAATGAGGTTTCTTCAGGGCTCATCGTTGACTACAACCATCCAATGGAAATGCAGGTAAAAGCCTGCGTGTGTAAACCATTTTCCTATTGGATGTTAACGCCAGTGGAGAAATGGCTAAATGCAGTTTTGGCATGGTTCAATTTGTGATTTTTCCTGAATACACAAGCCCAGAGGACCATGTAAGTTACCCTGGTACTAGCAGTCCTGCCATAACAATGTGCAGGGAGGTGTGGGAGCCAGTCTTGTCATGCTTGGATGAACTGCTAATCATTAAATCAGGCTATGCCTCCACTCAGCCTAGATTCTCGATAACTGTGAAGCAATGGGCACATGTTCGCAGCAGACCTCATGACACAGACCCGTGAATGTTCACGGTCTTCATCACAGTGGGCACACGAGAGATCGTGCGGGCTCCAACATCGCCACGCACCAATCCTCAGTGCGGAGGCCTCGGTCAGAGGATGTGCACTGCCCTCCTAACCCGGTCTGGGTCTCCCACATGTCTGTCTCACCCTCCCCACCCACCACCTCATCAAGCCAAACAGCGGCAGAGCAGGGGCTTTGACCTCCCGGAGGTCGTGTGCCTTCCTTTATTCCAGACATACATCTGGCCAATAGGGAACCAAAGGCGGGACCGGACGCTTGGTCCCGTTATGGAAACGCCAGCGCCCCACTCATGCTCCGTTCATAATTGAGGCACGTGCCCCCCCCACCCCACCCCATCTTCTCCCCCCTCCGCAATTTTTTTGCCTTCTTACATTCATAGAGCTCTCACAGTGGGAGGAAAGGAATGCAGCAAACATCTTACAGTGCTCGGAGGTGAAGCATGCCCATTTCCTACGCCCTGCACTGTAAGCACCTGCTTTTCCAATGTCCGTCAACCGCACAAAGCCTGTCCCTTGGCCATTCGGCATCAGTGAGAGGAGGGCACTTTAAACACGCTTTATACAATGCAAGTCTTGTCCGAAATGAATGGCGATTTTTTTTTAAATGTCATGGCGAAATAATAAAACAATTTCAGGGCTACAATGGGAGAAGTTAAAAAACACGTCGCCGTCATCATAGTTCCAAAGCAGACACTGCTTTATAAGACAAATACAAAGACAGGACAATGATTCACACATCTTGCTTCTAAGTAGAAAAAGTAAAATATGATGTAGCATTGCTGTTAATTTGCAAAGTGTATTGGTAGCACTCAAACCCTGTATTTAATAAGGCGCTTATGTTAATGTCTGTGAAGGTTTGAAGAGCAGAATCCCAAAAAATGTCCCAGTAGATTCTACATCAAAGCTATTTTGAATATGCCATCTCAAGGTCTACAGGTCTACCAACTGGAAAGTGCCTTCTAAAGTGGACTTTTCAAAGGCTGCAAACAAAACTACTTCTAATGGACAATCTGACTCACAAAGCCGATGCTGCCCATGTCCCGCAATTTGGTATTTTAACCAAGCCTCTGTGGCAAAGCACATGCTTTGGTTATTGGCTGCATTCACGAATGGTACACTCTCATCACTCAAGTGGACTTCTGAAAGCGGTGACATGATGATGACATATTTTACAACAAGAGTGCGCACGCTTCTATACTTACACATCTCACAACTAAAGACTAAATTAAAGAAGGACCAAAACAATTGTCTAAACGCCAAAACAACCGTGCTGTCATTTTGGACACATTTTCGCTGCGCTTTACATAACAGCGCAATATTTTGACTGCATCGGCAAGCACAGA